GGTTGACGTTTTCGTGAAAATGGCGTTTATGTCGCAAGCGATTTTCGCTATTATGACATCTTCTTCCGGTGGTGATTGAGTGGCGATGAGACGGGAGAGTGTGTCTGCTTGTCCGAAGTTGTTCGTGTCCCGGTATTCTATGTCGAAATTATAAGCAAGTAGTGTGAGTCTTCAGCGCTGTAGACGGTTTGCGGAGTAGGCAGGTACTCCTTTCCTAAATCCGAATATGGCTAACAGTGGTTTGTGGTCTGTGAGGAGGGTGAAGTGTCGTCCGTAGATGTATCGATGAAATTTTCGAACCGCATTCACGAGTGCAAGGCCTTCCCTTTCTATTTGTCCGTAGTTCTTTTCTGCATCGGTGAGCGGACGGCTAGCATGGTAAACAGCTTTCTCTGTTCCATCGGGATAGCGGTGAGAAATGACAGCTCAAATTCCGTGGTCTGATACATCAGCTGCGACGATGATGGGTAGCTTCGGATCATAATGGGTCAGTAGCAGGTCTGATGTGAGAGCTTCTTTGGCGCGTTCGAAGGCAATCTCACATTCAGAGTTCCACTCAAATGAAGCTCCTTTCTTCAGTGGAGTGTCGAGCAGTGCTCGCAGTTGGCGCATTTTTGGGACAAAGGCTCCATAGTGGTTGATTAGTCGGAGGAATGACCGAACCTGAGCAGCATCCTTCGGTATTGGCATTTGTGCAATAGCGTCGATCTTCTTGGGATCGTGTCGGCGTCCAGCAGCAGTGATGACATTTCCGAGATAGAGTTGGTTCATTACAAAGTGGCATTTGTCGATACGGACGCGGAAACCGTAGAGGCTATTCTTGAGAATAGGGCTTCGAGATTGGCGTCATAATCGGATAGTGTGCGACCGGTGACGATGACGTCGTCAAGATAGGCAGCAACGCCGTGGAGTTCGGAAATCATCTATTCGATTATCTGTTGAAAAATCTCAGGAGCGGGTTTCACTCCAAACGGCAAGCGATTATAGCGGTAGAGTTCTCGATGTGTTGATGGTGAGGAGTTCCCTAGAATTGTCATCGAGTTCTATCTGTAGGTATGCAGCGGCGAAGTCAATCTGGGAGTAGACGGTTCCGCCATTGAGCTTGGTGAACACATCCTCAGCAGTTGGTAGTGGATGTCTATGCAAAAGCAATGCGTCGTTGAGTCCAGTCGAGAAATCTGCGCAAAGTCGTATGGAGTCATTGGCTTCTCTCACAACAACGATTGGCGCGGCCCATAGTGTGTGGTCGATGGGAAAGATGACGTTTTGCGCGACAAGACGGTCAACCTCAACATCGAGGAGGGGTAGAGAAGCATATGGGACTGGTCTTTTTCTTGATGGAATCTGGGTGAGTTTCGGGCCTGATTTGGAGAGTTGCCTTCTCCTTCAGGCAGCATCCGAGTCCAGGTTCGAAGACACTCGCGAAATCACGTCTCAGCTTTGTGATCGTCTGGTCTCGGAGCGCTTCGTGGTTAAGCGTCTAGACCTTCCGGACGTTGAATATCTTCAGGACCAGGTTGAAATCTGGAATTTGCTAAATCCAGATGATTCCGAGCAGATCGTTGTCATCAGAGACACAACATACACNCAGAGACACAACATACACCTTGTCCGGGATGCTTTTCCTCGGTTGTCAACGACCACGAAAGCGGCATCGAACTCTCCGTAGATTCGTAGTGACAAACCGTCCGTCCCCTTAGTGTATCGGATGTCTTCTGTAGCTGCGGACCTCCAAGTTGCATCCAGGTTGGACGAGATGATGGTGACGTCGGCACCCATGCCCAACTGGAGACGGATAGAATGTCCGTTGATGTGAACTTTCAGATACTTTTGTACATCTGCAGTACGACCGACGAGACGTTGGTACCAAGTGCGTGGAAACGATGCGGCGTTTGATGCGGCGTTGCGATGTAGCCTTTGACTGCTGAGTAGCACTGGTAGCATGACGGTTTTGTGGACAGTGCTTCTTAAAATGATTCTGCTGACAAGTTGGGCATGGTGATGGCGGGGTTCTAGCTTTGGCTGTACAAGATTGGTGGTGCCTCTTTCTCTTTCGAACTGCACGTACTTCAGGTGCATTGAAAACTTCGACTATTATGGAATCGTCCTCGACGGACTTCCAGGCTAAGTCGTCAATGGTGATCTTTTCATCTTCGTCTAATCTGCGCAGACAGGAGATCGACAAGTAGTTTCTGCTGTGTTGCCATCATTTGTAGCAGGTCGTTGAGTGGAGTTCTTCCTTCCGTCGATGTACTGGCGTAGTTCGGGAGTTCCTGATCGCCATTTGTTATGTCCTCGTCGTGTTGAGTGGAAGCTTTATACGAAGGCATGAGACGAGACAAAAGTGAATGCGACCATACTCATGAGAGTTTATATAGGCAATGTGTTTATGTGATCACGATGTACTATCACNCTTACAGTAAACACAAATATACTGTAGTTCATTCTATGAGGAAGGTATAGTGCATTCGGCCTACCCCAACACCATGATTCGTCTTGTGTACCTTCGACAGCTCACTTTGTGCCAGACAGTCCCTCCAATCCTGAATGTTCCACGGCGTTTGATAGAAGTAGCTCGTTAGTTATTCGGGTGTGAATTAGAGCTGTGATCATAACTTAACAACGCGATTGTGTCTAATTATTATTGTGTTGAAAACTACTGCAATGTTAGGTATTCGATGTATTGGTAAATTGATTTATAGAATGGGCAGTAGTAACAAGAGTGGTAAGTCACTGAAAATTTTATCACCATCAAGTCACTTGCAGCTGCAGTTTCGAGAGAGTTCAGAATTTTTCACTAGATGAAAAGGAGTTCAACAAACCATCTTTGCCTGGGGAGGAATGCAGTAAGTTTCGCCGAGAGAGCCTTCTTCTTCACCCTCACCTATGTATATCTGCTTCACCCTCACCTATACCTGCCACTCATTCGACCATATTTCTTTTGTCTCGGTTTGTAAAGCACGTTGGGTTTCGAAACTAATATTCTACCTAATGTGAGAGGTTCAGAACATGGTGTTTTATAGAGTCCTTCATTGTTCCGCTTTATTCATTTTACTTTCTTGAGGTGGACTGGGTTGAGTGACCTCAGCTTAGGCTAGCACTGGTGCAGCTTTCACTGCTCCTTTACAACAAAATTTCAAGCGTTACGTCAAGTTCCGGTATATTATCGATAGTCTTTCCCAATTGTGCCTTTTGCACACGTAATAAAATTACGCTAAATCTAGTGTTATTAAACGAAGCCGATCTTGTCTGTGGTTGAACCTCTATTAATAGTAGCGATCACATTAGTATATCGTTTAGTGCAGATAGTATAATATACATTCTTAAGGAAGTTTGAAAGCTGCAATTCCTTTGGCCTTGGTGCCTACCTTCCGTCTAGCGCTTAGAGAAACTTATTTTAGAGACATAATAGCTTGTTATATTGGCGCATATTGGTTTCGCCTGTGGTCGAATACATCTCGATAAGTTCTTGCCATTTTGAGTAGACATACCCAACATCGAGTCCAGTTTCTATGTATTGGTCCAGCAAAATTACTTTGGATGTGTGACCATGTTTTCTCTTTCACTGACCATGAAAGAGTTTGACCGTTGCTTTTGCGACTTCTTAACAATTTACGCATTTGCTATCAAATTTTTCGATATCCTTTGCAATGTTTGTCCATGTTTATTAATTATTGTATACACGTGGACGAACAAGACTACGTTCTTGGCACGGTCGGATGTCCTTCGTGCAACAGAGCAATTATATGACTGGAACTTTGACTCGATCACAGTCCGTGGTCCCAAGAAGAGGCAATCGGCTTACAGTGAGAGAGACGTCTTATAGTTTCGGCCTATTCCGCATGCTATGCAATCAGACGTGGCAAGGCATCTTTTTTAAAAATGTGGTGCCCTTCAGTTTCGTAGCACTACTCTCGAAATATCAATAACCGTCGCAGGAGACGATTGGCTGTATATGCTGGTGAGTCTTGTTTCCTTATACAGCTAGTGGAGGATTATGGCCTGCAAGAAAATCTTAAATTGGCATCTAAAAAAGAATCTGTAAAAGTTGCGGAATGCGTAAACCAATGCAACACCTTTTTCATTTCGACCATACTTCTTCTTTGCTATTGAGAGTTTTGGCTGTCATGGCTGTATGCCTTCTTTGAAGCATGTGGAAATGTAGTAAGATGACGGCTCCGAAGCTGTAGTCCAAAGCATCGGTTATCACAATAAGGACTAATTTGAAGTTGTGTGGGAAAGCCGGAGTGGGGAGATCGTGATTTCTTCGAAGCGATTTGGACTCAGATGTACTTTTCCAAAAACGCATCGAGGGAAGCATGAAGTTGACGCATCTGCGGAATCAATGTTCCATAGCATTCAACATTCCGAGAGAAGGGTAGCGTTTCACAATGATTTTGGATCATGGCATTTTTGTAACGGTTTTGATCTCGTAAGAATACAGATGAGGGTCATTCGCCTCCCACATGGTGGTTTCTGGCATCCATCATGAAGTGACATTTTTCTTCGCGTTGACTGAGGTCCTGGGTCAACGATTACAGGTCCAAAGCGTTTATACCATGCATCAAACGTCGCGTCGACCTCGTCGTTGTTGAAATAAAGTAGGTCTCGCATCGAATCTCTGTAAGCATCTGGAGACGGCTGTCTCGTAGGTGACCGCTCCGTTTCCAGCTTCCACTCCACAAACACGGCAAGCAGCTACTGCATCTGTTGTTGTAGCGCTTAGTTCCGCCGTTCAAGTTGCTGGTTGGACTGTTGGGCCTGTTGGTTCTGCTCCTGAGAAGCAGCAGGAAATTGAGTCACCCAGGTTAGTTTATTCATTGATGTGGCCGAAAAGTCGTTTGTTATGTCGTGGCTCTTCGGATGGTGTGCGTCTTCTGCGTCTGGTTAGTCTCGTCCTGAATCCAGTATTGCAGCTTCCAGACAAAGTGATTTATTGTGCACCATACGACAACTGACCTGTACACCGTAAAATGAGGCTTCTGTAGTCGAGTATCACCCATTAGTGAATAACAGTGTGAGTGTAAACGCAATATGGTTTATCGCTAACTAATGTGAGAGTTACAATATGACCGTTGAACGGTTTCCTACAACAGAAGCGCAAGAGATATGCATGGGCGGCAGTAGGAAGCATAAAAGAGGAGCCCCACGCAGGTCGTATCGAACATGGCGTCATGAAAATGGTGATGATTCGCGCACAGAGAGCGTTGCAGCCGACGGCGATGCCCGTCTCTGTAGACATTGCAGTGCATACGTGGAATGCAAAGAAACGATGGGTCGGACACGTGGTCAGACGCGTGGATGTTTATGGACCACATTAATTTAAGTACCCGTGTGACGTTAAACGTACGCTTAACCATCCACGAAATAAAGAGTCTCCTAGATAAAACTTCGAGAGTAAAGAGGGAACACACAAGGTTCAAACCGTCCAAAATAGTCAAGAGGAGGGAAGCGTGCGTACGCCAAGATTATTGGCTGGTAATGAGCATCCAAGAGCAAGAATAAGTGAGTAATACTATTGACATAACTGTTGTAGAAAAAAAAGAACATCAATTCAGAACAAGCTATCAGCATTGTATCAGCAATTATCAGCACGAGCTTGCAGCTTAGCGGTTCAATGCTGATATTATATGACTGACACGACACCCTATACGTGTGAGTGCTGATAAGCCAGGACATATAAGCCATCACGAAGGCAAGGGCAAGCGGAGCTTCGGTGGTGAAAGGGATAAACAGCACCGTGCCTGATAAGCAAAAGCACGAGGGTTGGGCCCTGTCCAAAGTCGAAATTATGCTCACAAATCGCCAACCTTGTGGGAGTTTCTCATAGCGTACTGCGGTGAAATAACAGCGGCTAACAATAATTTCAAGTCAAAACAACTTATAAATATTATTATATTGAATCTTTAAATCAGGCTTATGACAAATGGCAATGATTACTAAGTGATTTGTGAGGCAGCATAACTCCATGAAAGGACATCAATCGTTTATTCAGGTCAAATTGCAAATTTTCAACCTTCGGCAGAAGGCACATTTGCGTAGCAGTATGAGTAGTGAAGGATGAATATCTCTTGAAATTTTTCACACAAGTGCTCTTGAAGGCATAGATCACAAAAACTTCGGAGCATCTATTTTAGAAGAATAATTAAGATGATAGCTCACAGTATTGCAAAATGGGAGACGAGAATGCGAAAATCCACATATTCTATAAAAATGAGGCTTCAAAAAATCAGTAAGATCAAGGTTTGGGCGAGAAAGTGACGAAAAAGGTTATATGGGAGGAGCATTTCGAGAAGCTGTCCAAATGCGCGTTTCATTGCATGCAGCTGGCTACAGTAAGCTGCATACGTGCACGGTGTGCGTTCCGGTGCGAACGGTGCAACCTCATCAGCTTTTACGATGCTCAGGAACTCGTCCGCTTTGGGTGCGTGGTATGGTGGCTAAGCCGCATATGAGCCCCTACTACGTCCTATCGGAGCCGTTTTTGTCCTCACCGCTGCTGTGCTATTTTTGGAATGACTGTTTCATATTTGGGGGGAATTTAGGAAACAATTTCTATCGTGAACAGTGCCTTTAGGTAAAAAGCAAAACAAAAATACCTCAACATTTTTCTTGTCAGGAAACAAAACCATTAATCTATTCTTACTGCGACGGTCTACCTTGTACAAGAAGAAAGCAGGTTTATGTATGTCATCCCTTCCTGATGTGAAGGCTAAATTTGGCAGCGCAAACTTCTTGGATCTGCTATGAACCCTCCTTTTTTAATAGCTACGTTGGTATATATGACAGCAAATCGCGGGGCATTACAAGAAGTAGGTGCTTCAAAAACCACTGACATGTTATGCAGTCCATGCTGTTCTTTCGCAGAAGAACCTTGTGTTTCCAACAATCTGTAGAACTCAATTCCATGAGAAAGTTTCCGGTAAGCAGTAATGGCTACGCCACTTAAAACCATCTGCCCTTTCGTTATATATCATATCAACAGACTCGAGCAAAGGGGAGGAGTATGTTGAGCAGCAGGTACACCTTTTCAACTTCAGAAGGTCCATAGCAAAAAAAGAAAATATTTTTGTAAAGTT